TTACAGAAAACTAAAGGAGATGTAAATAATTTCTAAATTATATATATAAAACTAATTTTTTTTTAAAAAGGTTAATTTAACTACATTTGCTTTATTATTTTCTGAAATGGTACAATATTCACAAAATCGTGTTGATAATATACAGGATCTTCAAAATAAGTAATTCTTATTTTATTTTGTTTTCTATATAAAATCTATTAAATAAAAAAATATTAGATTAGCTGATTTTGGTAAACATGTTGGTGTTCGAATACTTGATCTATTTTTTTTACGTAATGGAAAAGATAAACGTGAAGTACGTCTTACTCCAATGCTTATATTTATTCAAAAAACATTTTGGAAAGTAAATAATATAATGAAATAAAATTTCTTTTAAATTTCTTTTTATTTTTAATAGTTCTTATTTAATCGCGAAGCTGATCATCTTGAACAACATGCTCAAGAAGCAAATGTTTGTATGTATTAGATGAATTTTTTGTTTCTGTTTAATCTTATATATCTCTTTAGATTATATTATTGAACGTGAATGTCTCGTTAATAAATTTATTTCTGTACCAAAAGATAAAGGTATGAATAAAAATATTTCGAAATAAATCTTTATGATTTTTTTTTGTTTAGGAAATTTAAATTACGCATCATTTGTTGCTGGTATTATAGAAGGTATTTTATGTACAAGTGGTTTTGTATGTAGTATTGAATTGAAATTATGATAGTTATATTGTTTTCTTTCTTCTAAATATATAGACATGTAAAGTTCATACACATCAAGCACCTCGTGGTACAACTCATGTAATAACTTTTGCACAATCAGTTATGGATCGCGAAAGTCGATTAGATGCAAAATAAATCGAAACAATTCTTATTTCCGACTTTTTCTTTTCCATGTATTTGCGAATTCAAATGATTATTTTTCTTCTTCTTTGTAGATATATAAATTAAAATTTACACAAAGAATAATAATAATTCTATGAAATATATAAACTTGAATAAAAAATCTTTTTAATAAAGCTAATAGTTCAGATTCTATTTATTCCAGTAACCAATGTCATAGAAATTATTTTATATGTATTGTTTATTATGAAAAGAAATACTTTCAACATTTCATTGTTCAAGTATACTTAGAATTCTATGAAATAATGAATACACAAAGTATTAACTATACTACTACTACTATTATCATTCATTGTTGAGTATTATTTGATCGATTGAAGTTGATGTAAACTTTATTCACTTTTGTTTCGATATCAAGTATATGTCAAAATTGAGTGTATATATATATATATATATATTAATAAATGACTAAAAAACACTTTTTCAAAAAGAGTTTGTAACTCATTTTTTTTATTTCTCAGGTTGTCACATATCATTTTGATTCTTACATTTTACTACATATATATATGTTATTGTTCATCAGGAAAAAGTTAGTTTAGTTAAAATAACATTCTTGATACGACACTTGGGAATCAAATATTCGTTTATATTGATGCATACTCCGAGAAAATTAAGAATCTATGTGTTCTCTTCCGTTTACTTATTTTATGTTATTCTTCATAGATTTTTTCTTCTTCTCTTTTGTTGTCTCCTGTCTCTCTCATGAGAAAAAGGAAATATTCGTTTCGATTAATCCAAATCAGATTTGTCACATCAAAGACATTTAACTCTGTGTTGACCAGTATTCGCGCGTGCACATGTCGATGCTCATTTGCGTATTTCAACAATTAGTGATAACTAAGACAGATAGTCAAACAAAAGAAGACAAAGTCCATCGTTGCCGCACACGCAAACCAGACTTTCTCATCACATTATGTTGATCAACACCTTTTCTTTTCTTTTCTTTTGCAAGAGAAAAGAATGCCGACACAAACACAAACTATCGATAATAGCCAGGCAAATATCTGTATATGTGGATGACTGGTTAAAGTCAAGTGAATTTGTATTTCCATATAACGTGCGAAAAAGAAATTTTAAATGAATAAAAAAAAAATATGCATAATCAATTGAGTGGACCGCATATACCGCTATATACTTTAGTGTGATGTGGGAGAATGCGGTATGTGCATAATCGAATAGCAATAATCATAGGTTCACTTGTTTTGTGAGCATTTATGATCTGTCGTCTGTGTCCACTATCAATCATCATGCCTTTTTTTTGTTGTTGATCTCGATTATAATGAATAGATGTGAAGGCTAAGTGGCTGAGTTCACCTTCTCGCTTGCTTGATTGTCTTTTTTTTTCTTTCTTATGATGAGATCATCAAAACGCGACGACGCATACTAAGCGATAAATTTTCTTGATTATATATATATGAATACAATAGTTATACATAAATGTGAAAATAGAAGACTTGCTCGCCTTTTCTTAAAGATTACATATATATATATATATAGATGAATGTGTTTGAATATGATATGGTTTATCGATGCACAACAAACAGTGAATAAAAAGGAAAAAAATTGAAGAGGATCAAAGTACGTGTAAATAGATCAGTGAAAGCAAGTACTTTCCACGAGAAGAGTAAGTGTTAAATTCCATTAATTCAAAGTATGTGTGAAAAACGATCAACACACTAAATAAACGATTGACTGATGGACTAAAGTGAGAAATAAAGACGACGTTGGTGTCTCCTCTCTTTCTTAATTAGTTAAAGTCAGTGGGTAAGAATGATACTTGATTGTAGTCAAGGACTCTTGAAAAAAAGAAAAAGATGTTTATTCTTGTATAACAACTAATTTCAATGTTGTCATGTATTCATCAGAATTTTTTATTGATCCGGAACGCATAGTTCGTACAACTAGAATTCTATGTGCGTGTGTGTATATATATATGGAACAGATGAAGAAAATGAATGCAGAACATCTTTTTAAAAAAAACATGCCGCGCTTGCCATTGCTTCTTTCTTCTTTTTGTTTAGCATACATATATATGTATATATTGAACAAACGAACTATGCTAAGTAAAAGATTGATGGGTTGTGGAAATTCTCTAGAGAACACAAACGGCGTCGCACGATGACAAAAGTTTTTTTTTATATTGCTATTATGATTGCTCTTTATAAAAAAAAAACCGAGCATAAGAAAATGAGATTGCTAGACTTTTTGAACTAGTGAACAAAAAAAAATTATGCTCAATATATATATATATATGTCAATTTAACAAATGTTAGTAAGAATATTTCATCAAAATGAAATAGTAATGATTGATCAAACTTTGAATGTATGACAGAAATAATTTCTTATTACGTATAGATGTCAAAAAAAAGAGAATTAGTTTCAAACATCATACACCCTCACGCACTTCATTCATCTTTTGTTTGATTTGATTGATAGTCATATATATATATATAGTATTATGAAAGTTTCTAGTTAGCTTTGTATATTGAATCAATTCTTCAAGTACAATTCGAAAATGATATAAACAATATTATACCATAGAATATAGATTATTTTCTAATTTCTTATCGAGAAGTAGAAATGATTATTATTATTATTTTTTGTTGATTCTATTTGATAACAATAACGATATGTTCGTCATAAAATCATGATTAACGATTATTCTATGATACTATTAAAAAGCTCTTATGATTTTACAGACAGATTGTCGTGAAATTAAATCGTAAAATATAGAGAAAAACTATCGATTGAAAACGATAAGCTATAATTGAAATGAATTCGTTTCTGATCATTAATATTAAATAATCTATATTTAATTTTTTAAGTCAACATATTGATATTATATGGTAACATAGTTTTTGAAAAATCTCTTCGTTATAAGATGAGAATTATATTTTAAGTCTTTTCTTTTCGTCTAATGCCGTCTTCTTCTTCTTTTTTTTTCTTTTTTTGATGTGTCGCACGTCACATCGTCATCTACCAATCAATCTTCGTCTGAATTTTGATTGGATATGACACACTTTGCTTCTGCCGTTGGCAACGTCAATGTCGTTTTCTTCTCCACCCTTTTCCATCCGAGTGCCAGTGTATTTCATCATAAGTCTAACAAAAATATAACCACTCGACTACAAATGTGAGTCGATGCGTTAATAATAATCTTTTGTTCATTCAGTAACTCGTTTTTTTTTACATAAGAGATCTTTTTTTTGTAGTGGAAAGAAAAACAGAAAAAAGAGGAAAAAAAATTCCATTGCGACATCAGAATAAATTGAGCTTACTTCCTCTTCTTTCTCTTTCTCTCTTCCATTTCTGCATGCGACACACTGGCTGCAGTACTTTTTATCTCACCCAATCTCAAACCTGCAAACGTTTTCTTTCTCTATGCCTCGTTGTCGACAATACCCGCCAACACTCGCCTTTTTGCTTGTTCTCGCACACACACACGCATATAATCGACATCAATATACAAACTAAAGAAGAAAATCCTTTTTTCTTCGTCCAAAGAGAAAAGGAGAAGAAGAAAAAAATAAGGAGAAGCGAGAAAGAGCAACTCGATTGCTGAATGGTCGAGAGTAACCGTTCACATTAAGAGTAATTACAAGTGTTCGCTTGTTTCGTCGTCAGTTTTCTCTCTTTCTGTAAAGAACAGCCTCTGTTTTTCTCTTCTCTGTGTCTCTCTTCTTCTCTCTCTTTCTCTCTTTTTTTCTCTCTTGTGCATAGAAAAGAGAGAAAGTGCGAAAAGGTGAGACGTTTGTGCTTGCGGATAAAGATTGACATCCAGAAATCTATCAAATCACACACATCGATCACGTCACATAGTCCTATTAAATTCGACAGATATAAAGCGTATCCATTACACGCTACGACTCGACAACTGAGACGTAAATAGACACGAGACAAAACAGACAGTTATAGATAGATAGAGAAGCAAAGAAAGAGAGAGGGAGAAAAAAAGAAAAAAAAAAAGAAAAATACGAAGAAAACAACTGCGTTGTCTTGTTTAATGAATGATGATCTTCATCTATCCATCCATCTATCTCTAGCCGTCTTCGTCTAACCGACAAGTAAATTAGTCATGTCGTCTTGAACACGTCGACTTCGATAGATCAATGGCTGCTCAGAGGGTAATTTGTGTGATGTCAATTTTGACATTCGATCATTGATGAGATTTATTTATTTATTTATTTTTTGATATATATATATTTAGTTACTCACAGATACAAATGGACCTTATTACGGAAATGGTAGTGGAAACTTTTCGACGACAAATGGTCCCGATGGTAATAGCAATCTATATTCTCAAACATTTAGTAATGAAACTTCTCCACAATCAGCTCCTCATCATTTACAAACTCTTCTTGGATCTATTAATGAATCTTCATCAACAACCAATCATTCGAACAGTGTCAACGTCGATAATCAAGTTAAACAACAAAAAGATATGATTTACAGGTAAATAATACTATATAGAAAAAATGAAAGAACCTAAAAAAACAAACCCTGACTTTTTTATTTATCTATTTTGTATCTCTTCTGATGAAACTGAGTAAGCAAAAAGTAAAAGAAATGTGTGTTTTAATTTCTTTTTTTTTCGTTTCTTGACAACTGATTTGTTTTCTTCATACACATGTTTGTGTATGCCAATAGTAACTAAATTTTTCATCCTTTATACTTTTTAAAATGCATTAATTACGAAAATTAAAGAGAAAGATTTTTGTACATAAATAAGTAGCATTACGGATATCGAAAGATCTCGTGTTTAATTCGTTTGATTGTTACTTTCGTATGGTTAATCGTTAGAGAAGATGAACAGCTTTTGTTTCTTCTATTCATTGATGATAATGATGAGAAAGTCGTTGAGGCAAATCACCTTCAAGCAAGTGTATATACATTGTATATTTCGTTTCATCGTAGTCTCTCTTTCCCTTTTGCATACATATACACAGCTGTAATTTCGAAACCGATCATTATCTTCACGCTTCATATGTTTTTTACTCTCGTGTTCTGACTTTTCTTTCCGTTTCTTTTTGTTAAATTGATTGACGAAAGTATACTCTTAGGAAGATTTATGTATATACCTTTTAAAGACAATAAATTGTCAAAAGAAAACAAAAAAAAAAGAAAAATAATTCAAGTGATCTATAGACGTATTCAAGAGGCAGAAACAGAAAATAACTAGATTTATATCAGGACATTGAGAAGGCATGTACATACAACACACACACACACACACGCTTCATGAGTTTGTTTCTTTATTAATCATCTTGTTCGCTCCGGCTGGCCTATCTTTGTAATCACTCGGTTGGTTGCTATCTCTAAGAAGATGATGATGATGTTGTTGTTTCTACTAGTGATCATAGTGGATGGCCTTTATGTGTGCGTTAGTGCATACCACTGACTTACTAATAATCATTCGATAGACAAAACCAGTATGGAACGGAGAAAAAAAAGCAACCATACAATCGAGATCTTTTTCGCTGTCTATTTCTAACTCTTATCGTCTCATTGGGTACTCTCTTTGCTTTTTTTTCTTTTCTTCCCCACAGTTACACTATGTATGTATGTGTATATATATATATATTTGCTTGAGTTTTTTTTCTCTCTCTAAGTTCTCGCATGCGTATGACAGTGATTGATGATCATTACGCCTGCTGCTCCTTTCTCGGTTGCTAAAATCATAGCAAAATACTTATTACGATGATAACTTTGTAGATATAAATTTTTATTGGTTCGTTTTTTTCTTTCTCACTACCAAGACTACTGTTATTAATATAACTCAAAATGTAAATTGATACGATCGTAATCGTAATATAAAAAAAAAATATCAAAAATCTTTCTCTGTAATTTTCACATATGAAAAGTGCTTGAAGCTAAAGAAAAAAGAATAAAAGGAAGAGATAGATCAATTTCTTGATGTTTGATCATAATTATAGTTCAACTATCAAAAAGAAGAAGAAGAAGATAAGAACAATCTTTCATTTTTTTTTATTTTCTTCTTTTAGTCATCCATTATTTCCATTACTGGCATTAATCTTTGAAAAATGTGAATTAGCGACTTGTACACCAAGGGATTTAGGTGGACCAGGAGATGTTTGTTCATCTGAATCATTTAATGACGATATTGCTGAATTTACTAAACAGGTAAAATTGATATATGTTACATGTCTTATCATCAAAATGTATTCAAGTTAAAAATGAAGACAGAGGGTTAAATTGAAGTACATAAAGTTTGCAATATCGAGCTACTGTATGTGTGTGTTATCGCAAGATGAACATTCGATAAGCCACTTGAACAAGAAAATAAATGAAAAGTCAATACTAGATCATATATATATACCCATATGCACATAAGTTGACGATTATGACCTCCTCACTCCTGTCAGATTGATACTTGAATGAACAAACTATGATAAAAAATTTCAAGAACACGAGCAAGAGAGAGAGAGAGAAAAAACGACTATATACATTCACGTCATACTTTTACAGATGTTGCCAATTGGATTTCCTTTTTTATTTTATTTTTAAAAAACTTATCTTTTTTGAGAGTCGTAAGAAAAAGGAATGTCATGCTGGGTTTGAACAATATTGTTCAATATACTCAAGTGACACAAAGTATAGGTGTATGTATGCCTGTAATCAACGTAGTGGCACTTATGTCAAATGAATATTTCATTAGTTGATTTGATGAAATGAAAATGCGATTAACTCTCTCAAAGACATTCATTGTCTACACATGTATATATATATATATAATATATATGTATGTGTGTGCTTATGCTATTATTAATGCTTGTAAGCACGTGCTATTTGTTGATCTGATCTTATTTAAGATAAAGAAATGCTCACATCATCCCAAGAGCAAATCAGATCATGGTCATCATCTTATCATAAAAATGAAGGAATAGAACAAGTTAGCTTTTTGTATTGTTCAATGGTGTAAATGGGAGAAAAAGCTTGAGGGTATCATTAAAATGTCATTAGCTTTTTATGTGAAGAAGATACAAGAGGGAGAAGAAGAAGAAGATGAGAGGTCAAAGAAAATCTCATGCAAATCGAACTAGCAAATTTTCTTTTGTTGTGCAATGTTCATGTCTATATATGCGGAAATGCTTTGTTTCGGAAGCACCTGCTATTATATTGCTGCTCCCTCTTTCTTTTTTTGATGATTAATTGAACTAAAAATAAAAAATAAAGGAAATATATCCGTCATTCAATAGATTTCCGTTATAAAAAAAAAACTTTTCTTTGTCTTGTTATTTCAGCTTCAAAAAGATCCAAATTATATAACAACCAATCCTGAATTGGATAATGTGGTATGTTTTTAATTATTTTTTACAGATTTCTATTAACTTATTCTTACTATTATTTAGATGCTTCAATCAATACAAGTGTTACGATTTCATCTTTTGGAATTAGAAAAAGTACAGTATCTTGTATATAGTTCATAGATAGGAGAGAAAGAAGAATATACATCGATTCATTAGGGAACAGTCCGAAATAATAATCATAATCTATTTTTTCTGTCGACACTTGTCGAGAAAAGAAAATTTATCTTAATCAACAACCATAGGTTTATGTTTCTTTTTTTTTCTTCTCTTCACTTACACTAAGACAATATATATGAGACATCTTTTCACTCATTGACCGATTTATCAGACAGATAAGACAGAATACATTTACTAGTAATATCAATCAAAAGAAAATTAGCAAGAAGTCAAGTACAAACTTATTAACAATAGTTTATATATCTAAGTTTTCTTTCTTCTTTTTATCATCTAGGTTCATGAATTATGCGATAATTTTACTCATCGTTATATAACTTGTTTAAAAGGAAAATTACCAATGGATTTAGTAATCGATGAACGTGATTCAAATGTTTCATCATCAAAATCTGGTGATGAAGATGATCAAGATGATGATCCAGGTAGTCCACAACCACCACATGGACTTCCACCACATCCTCCACCAACATCATCACGTTCATCATCTTATAATCAACATAGTCCAGATGGTTCAACAACACCATCAGGATATAATCTTCCTCATCAACCTAAATCTGTAAGTACATTTTTCTTCTTTTTTTTTGAACATTATCCGATATTGTGAATAATACAAACACCTGTTTTATATAAATATCAATGTATTCTATGTTATTATAATAATTATATGAACATATGTAAACAAACATTTCGTTCTCTTTTGTCTTTCCAAATGAATAATATCCATTCAAGTGTACACATACTTGATCTACCCTCATTGAAAAGTCATCATCATAGAAATGTTTTTATATTTAGCTTCGATCATCATCACATTGTTCATCGATGACAACAACGTCACAATTAACACCTCTTGTTTCACCACATCATTTTGGTCATTCATCTCATCATCATCATCTTCAACCACCACCACCACCACCTCCATCAACACATTTTCAACAACAATTACCACTACCACCACCACCACCACATCCATCTTATTCAAATCATCTTCTTGGTAATAATACTGGTCATCATCCATCAGTTTTAACTCATTTATCTCAACAACAACAACAACAACAACAACATTTTCATCAACAACCAAATCATCATTCAATTCATAATGATGATACACAATCGACACATTCTTCGTCAGATGCAAATACTCCAAATACAAATCAAACAACAATGACTAATATGGCAAATACAACAAATAGTTATCATATACTACATGATAACAACAGTGAAACGGGTATGTTTTTCTCATTTCATTTATACATATATATATGTATACAAAAAAAAGAAAAAAGCTAATCACAGAAAGAACAGAATTACCCATTGACATTTCATTATTATTAATATTGTCTGCAATACATACACGCAAGGGAACAGCTAATCTCCAAATCATTCATTGCTTTCTATTTTCTAGAAATAATTGCGAATAAAAACATTACCAATCTGTCTGCATGTTCATTTTGAGTTCCCAAACGAATTCATTTTGACTGATGATGATGATGAACACAATCACATGTCTTTTTATTTTTTATCATTTAGAATAAAAATATTAATTGAAATTTTCTTCATTTAGAACAAAAAAAACAAAAAAAAGAAATATAACAACAGTTGTTCATCTTCTGTTTTTCACTTTTACTATTCATCTCATCTTACATCTTCTCTATACATTAATTCAATACATCTGTGTACTAGACTGAAAATTAAAATCATCTCTGATTTCACACTCTATTAAGAAACGAACGGTTTTCTTTTCTCTATACCGTTTTCTTAGAATATATATGCTAATTATATTCGAATGCTCTTTCTTGTCGATTTAAATCTAATGCTATTTCACAAATCGACTGTCAAAATGCATTATGCTGTCCGACTAGTAGTCCTGTCAATCAATCATAATTGCTTATAAGGAGGAGTGAAAAGAAAGAAATATGAATACTCTTTAAATATATAAGGCTTCACCTTTCATTGTTCTTTAAAGCGATTGAATTCATTGGTTTATTTATATATATTCTATTTTAGGTGACAATTTTGATAACAGTGTAGGTTCAGGTGGTGATAATACTGGTGGTGAAGATGATCTTGATGATAATTCAAAGAAACGTCAAAAAAAACGTGGTATTTTTCCAAAAGTTGCTACAAATATAATGCGAGCATGGTTATTTCAACATTTAACTGTATATATTTTAATTTAATAACAATAAATTTTTGAGAAATTTTTATCTTTTAGCATCCATATCCGTCCGAAGAACAAAAGAAACAATTAGCTCAAGATACTGGTTTAACAATTTTACAAGGTAAAATAATTTTTTTATGATTCTTTTAACTTTTATTTATAATTTCTTTTTTTTTATTTTAGTTAATAATTGGTAAGTTAAATATTTCATTATTTATAAACGCATAGAGAGGGTGTTGTAGATAGAATAGAAAGGTTTTCCATTAAAGAGTAAAACTGTTTCGATTGGTTAGATTTTCTTGTTCTTTTTATTTTATCCAATTATAAATTTCCATAAGGCTAAAACTCTATGTTTACTCTCAATTTAAGACTTGTTACCATTTGCCGACTTATTTTTTCTTCTTCATCAGTTTGTTATTTGTACATGTCGGCAATAATAACGATCAAACTTTTCTATTCTCATATATATATAAATATATCTGTTCGACGCGTATGATCAACATAGAGTAATCGTACGGTCAATTAATAAAGTAAACAATTCGTTGACTGATACTCAATGGTAATATAGCGTGCAGAAAGAAAATTAAAAAAAGGAGAGAGATCTTTTGAGTGTTATATACATTCTCACATATAGCAATTGACCTGTCAAAAAGGCATTTTCGTGATAAAATGCGATTAGAATATATATATATGTATGTATATATAGCGGTATGATTTGTCGCCTAGATGTGTTTGATGCTACAAATATACGCCAGCTGACGATACGCTTGTAGCGGTAAACATTATCGTGATGATCATCATTATAAGCATGCACGCGACTTTTTCATTATCATGTACAAAATAAAACAAAAAAAAAATAGTAAAGAAATGAGAGAGATCAAACAAAATGACAGAACCTATTGCGCTAATATTGATGGTGATGATGATAATGCGTGCAACAGCCGTTCAATATAACTACATAAATGATAGGTCACGTTTTTTCCTCTCTGTCTGTTGTTTGGATCTCCTGTTGATAATATTTTGTCTATATAAAAGTTTTGAGAAAAACATCTGGCCGGATATATTGTTGACAACGATCGATTGTTTCATATGATCGTTAAAATCGCATTAGTAGAATGAGGAGGAGAAGAATCTAAACTATTGCATTAGCAACAGTCTTGTTTGTATATACATATCCCTAAGGATAGAATCGTTACCGTATCTCATTTTTTCTCTCTCTCTATACAAAATGGACATCATTTATCTTCTTTTTTTTTTCGTCTTTCGAGCCTCCTACTGCTTATATAGATATCTTGATATTGTAAACAAATCTGTCTATCTTCTATTGTTGACAGATTTTCGAGGTCGTATATAGAACAGAACTTGTCCTTATCGAAGAATTCTTATCATAGAAAAAAAAAGGTCAAATTAACTTGACTAATCTAATTTATTATCAATAAATTATAGATTATTATTGTAAAAAAAACTTAAAATATAAGAACAAAAGAAAATTTGATGTTTATCATTAACTAAAGAAAACGAAAAAAAAACTAATATAAATGTATCGGAAAAACATCATAAGATAGAAATATATATATACCGCACAGATGATAATTAACCTCTACAATATCTGTTGGTGGCTATTATAGTAAAATAAACACGTTCAATTGACTTGAAAGATATGCGCATAGTTGTATATATACTTTTTCTAATAAGCCACTTTTATCCTTCAAGTAAAAAAGAATCTCATGCTGTCTTATATTTTTTTTATAATGTATATTTATAGGTTTATCAATGCCAGACGTCGTATAGTTCAACCAATGATTGATCAATCAAATCGTGCTGGTAAGTTAACTGTAAATGTTAGTGAAGATCTTCCTGGACAAAATCTCTCGCATGTACCGACATCAATATGTATATCTCCTGGTACTACTATGATAAAACAACGTAATCAGCAGCAGCAGCATCCGAATCGAAGACGAGGAGTTCCACATAATCAAAAAAAATTATGTCGTCGACCAAATTCTTCTAAAACATCAGTTATTTCAAAACGATCATCCCTTTCATATATGACGAAAGGCAAGAGTATTAAATGCTCATAAATTGAAAATATCTAACCATGATTTTATATCTAATGCTTTCTTCTCTATTTATATTATTATTATAAAAAAAACGTATTCTACAATAATAATGATAATCTTCCTTTTTTTCTGTTTTTCCAGCTCATGCTCAAAAAGGTAGATTCCTATTTTACTTCTGCATTAACATATATATGTGTGTGCACATACTGCTGATTTCTTCTGCTGCTTTGATTTCCCTATTATTATAATTCTAATTCATTTTGCCGTTTGTCGATAAAATGAATCTATCTATTATTCTTATGCTTGACAAATGCTTCTGTCTAAATTTGAATCGATAGCAATCTCGTGTGACATTTGAATAGTTAAAACTAGATTGATTTTTTCTCCTCTCTTTGTGTCACCATCAGGAATGCGATAGATAGACTAGTCAATCTAATTCAAAAAGACACTTGAACAATTGTTCTATGCTATTATTGCTCCACCTCTTTCGCCTTTCCTTTTTCCTTTTGCTGTCAAAGTTAATTATTTGCACGAATGCGTGAAATAACACAGACTATGTGATCAAAAAAAAGAAAAAGAAAAAAGAATATCGAGTTTATTTAAATTAATAATATCTATTTTGTTTGTTTTCTTTTTCTAGCAGCTATTCCAACTGAATTTACTGATTGTTTTGGTCCGTATTCTCCTGATGCAGCAGCAGCTGCTGCTATGCATTATCAATTTGGTGGTGGTTATCCAACAGCACCTCATGGTAAATATATAAATATATACATAAGAAAATTTAATGAAATATAAAAAAAGCAGGTTTTTTTTCTTATTAAGATATTTTTGGATCTTATGCTCAAATGTCACAATTTCGAAATCCAATGATGATGATGTATCCAGGTGGTTATCCTGTATCAACAAGTCCAAATAGTATGATGGATCAAATGGGTCATCATCATCATCAACAACAAGAATCATCTGCAGTTACAAGTGGAGCTGCTTAAAAAACCAAAAATATTATAAACTCTATAATATGTATAAATATATTTCAATAGATCTTACATAGAAATTCGAATGTTTATCTTTTTCGCTCTATCTCTATCTGTCTCTCTCGTCTTATCTTTCTCCATGACCGGTGTTCATATTTCTCTTCTTGTTTTTCTTTTTGAGTTTTGATGTCGTTTTTTTGTGCGCATTTGTTGCTTCTTTGTATATTCTATCTGTCATTGTATTCTATATATTCAACAGCTCAAAAGAGAAAAAAATACACAAATTAACCAACTAATATTGTCAAACTATTTCGACAACAAAAGTCACCGATCACCGGTTCCTTATGTTGTATGTTAAGCATAAAAAATAATTGAGCATGTCGTTTGTTTTTTTTTCTTCTTGTGTATGTGTCTTATGTATTGCATATAGTTGTGTTTATTTCATTTATTCTGTTCTCGCCACATAGTGATCATTCAACGTTCTGGTTTTTCTTTTTTTTTTCTCGACATGATGGATATGTTCGAATTGTCAAAGTTTTCTTTTGTTGTCTTGTGGTTTCTTTTTCAATGTCCATGACACCTGAATTTAATGTTTTTCTTCTTCTTCTTCGTTTTTTTTTGTTTCCTTAAATGACAAGAGTGAAAAGAAAGTTAGGGATAATAGCAGGAAAATTTCAATTGAGAGATGATCTATGTTTTGTTTTGTTTTGTTTTTCTGAAAAGAAAATTTTACTGAAAAATATAATATACAAGATTAAAGAGATGAAAATTTCTTATGCATATTTAACATGATGATAAATGATTTATTTCGGGTAAATCTATTATGAAAATTTATTGATAATATTTGATTTAGTCGAACAAACAGCTGACATCTATCTTCTTGTTTGATATTAAAATAAACAAAAAGAGAAAATGAATAAAAGTACATCTAGTCGATATGTATTAATGCCCTATAATAACCTCAGACGTACCAAAACAATCGGCAGAAAAGAAAATGACAAAAATCGTGGTCTAATTCTGTACCTAAAAATATTATATTAATTTTTGACTATTTAACTTAAAATCATTTCTTCATTTTGTCGAAGTACAAAGAAACACTTGAAATAAACGATAATCATATGTTAATTGAAAAGATCTATATTCTTATTCAAATAAAAAATGAGAGATAGTTCTTTATCGATATTTATGCCGGTTTAATCGTTTGTTTTTCTGATCATCATCGAACAAGTTGATTTAAATATAAATACAGATGACACGTGTTATGATGATAGTCATTCTATTCTGTTTGACGTTGCACCTATACATAGAAAATAGTATAGAAAGATAGAAAAAAAGAGAAAAGCATAATATTACCGTATAAACTTAGTATCAATTCACAAGATATATATGTATGATGTCATCATCAGGAACTATTGTTTCACCAAAAAAAGAAGATCTTATAAAACGATGGCAACGTCAATTGATCGGTCGTCCACATATAGATTTCCAAGAATTTATGCATCTTCTTCGACAACAAGTATGAATAAACTCTCATATAACGTTTTCTCTTGTTCCGTTTTCTTTCTTTTTTTTTAATATTTACGAAACATGATCTTTCATTTGATTTTTCTTTTTCTATTCTCAGCTATTGTTGGAGACGATTTTTTGCTTGTTCGATCGTGATTCAAGCGGTTTACTCTCTGAATCTGAATGGATTGGATCTGTATATAAAGTGGCCGAGTATGTGTACATGATATTCTCATTTATTTTGTCTTAACAAACATTTGATCATTATATATTTAAACAGGATATCCAATCGCACAAAAGATGTTCGAACACTCGAACCATTCATACGTGCTTTTCGACATTTTTCACATGGATCTGATTCACTTTCTATAGATGTTTTTTATATATTATTCGAAGATCTATCGGTATGTAATACAAAAGAAAACAAAATAAATAAACATTCAATTTTCTTTCTATTAGTTTCGACGAAATTTTGCTTTATTGTTTATTGGTGAATCAAATTTATTGAATATTATGGAATTTACTGATTTACTTCGATCTGTTTCAAAGTCTATATATAATTTTTCATAAGAAAATATATATATTTCTTAATTTTTAGTCTTAAATCAGATACGAAATGGCTTTCATGGCTTGCTTATCAATTTCATTTAGCAGTTGGTAAACGTCGTGGAATGACAAATCATGGTACTCAATCGGATGATAGTATGGATTTGGAAAAATTTAAAAATAGTTTTTATTTCAAAGTAGTATGTATATGATTTCTGTATTAAAATAAGAATTAAAATATATATTTCTAAGCCTGAATTAGCCGATTGTTTATTTAATTATCTTGATACAGATAAAACTGGTCGATTAACATTAGATAAATTTATTCGAAATTTGGAATTTATTGTTGAAGCAAATGATAATGAAAAAGTTGAATTTCTTTTTAAAATCTTTGATCGTGATGGTTTGTTTTTTTTAAATAAAATTTAAAAATTTAAATCTAAAAAATTTGTTTTCCAGGTGATGGAACAATAGATTTTGATGAAATGAAATTATTACTTCGTTGTTTTTTGGAAGAATCTCCTTCGCTTGATATGGAAGAAACATTAGCTGAATTAACTGCTACTTTATTTCAAGAAACTGATATTGATCAATCAGGTGATATTAATTTCGATGAATTATCAAATGCATTGAAACGAAATGAACATTTATTTAAAGTACTTTCACTTAGGTAAAATTTAGATTTTAATAAATGAATAAATATATATGAAAATCTTATTTCTTATAGTACAAGCAGTTGGATTCGACCTAAACCTGTGTCAATAAGTAAATATCATAAGCGTTCATCAACAGTTCGTGCTTGGATACGAAATAATATCGGTTTAATCTTCTTTTGGTCATTATATTCATTTATATGTACTTGTATTTGTGTTGATGTTATTCATCTTTATGTTGGTCAACAACGTGTTCATTTTCTTATTGTAATAGCTCGATTGAATGGTAATCAAAATTTTTATTTCGAAAACAAAAAAAACAAAAAAATTTTATTTTCAGGTGGTATGCTTAATTTTAATTGTGCTTTAATGCTGATATTAATGCTTCGTAAACATATAACATGGTTAAGATCAAAAGGTGGTGGTATTCTTCTTCCACTTGATCATCATATTGATATACATAAAACCATTGGAATTATTATTATGATTGAAACAGCATTACACACAGCAGCACATTTAGCTTATTTAGGTTATGTATTTTATATTTGTTCATTATCTGAAGATATTGGCTCTTCATGTAATAATAATAGTACGAATATCCATCAATCTAATTTATATAATCAATCATTAAATAATGAAATGATAGTAACGAAGCGTTATCGATTTGATTCTTTAGTAAATAAATGTGTTCCATTTGGATATCTTGGATGTGGTGGAAATTGGAATCATTTTCACGCAGAAAATTTATGTGTACTTCGTTGTAGTAAGAATCTATAGGTTTTCTATTGTTTTTTTTCTTCAAAATTATTTATCTATAGAACCATATCGTGATACATATCATCGTTATGTTGATGCAATATTTACAGCTAAATTAGGACTTGGTTATATAACAGGTGTACTTGAATTCCTTTTAGGTGCACTTATTTATATAATGTGTTTACCATTTGTACGGAAAAGTGGCCATTTCCAAGTAAAACTAAACTTATTTTATTTAAAAATACATAATTGTTTTTTTTAGTTATTTTATTGGTGTCATATGTTAACACTACCATGGTTAATTATTATGCTTGTACATGGACCAAGATTTTGGAAATGGTTATTAATCCCTGGAATTTTATATATTATTGAAAAAATCTTACGTTATCGTAAATCTCGTTCAAATAAACATGGTGAAACATTTATAATGGAAGCTATTCTATTACCATCTCAAGTATTAATAAATATCTCGAAAAAAAGACAGAAAATTAATTCTTGATTTTTTCTAGGTTATTCATTTAGTTATCAATAAACCAAGAAAATTTACTTATAAACCTGGAGATTATATCTATATAAATATTCCAGCTGTAGCTAGTTTTGAATGGCATCCATTTAGTATCAGTAGTGCTCCAGAACACAAAGGTATGAAAACTTATCACTTCAATAATAAGTATTAAAAAGCGTTTCTCAAGTTATATTTTAATAAAAAATCTTTCTCTTCAAATCTTAGACAAGACTTTCCCCGAAAACAAAATTCTTTTTCATATTTAATAAAATGACACGAAATTTATGACATTGAAAAACTGAATATGATAAATGTCCGCTTTGACACATTTAATAATAGATTAGAACTATTAGTTCATTAAAAAAAAATCTGCATATTAGTAATTAGCATGGTTTAGACATTCTCATTTTTATAATATAGAAGAATGAGTAGGCTTTTTCTATATTTATAGAATTTGTAATATTAGAATAATTTGTATGTACTTTTAAAGAATCATATTTAAATAGGCTCAAAGTTCACTATAAACTATAGTTAATTATGTAATTAGATATTATATTTTCTCGAGGATGTTAAATCATTAAATACTTGAAAGTATTCATTGAAGTGATTTGTTTACGACTAAATAATTATTTTGAAAAAGAAAAATTTACAAATCTTTTAATTATTCAGATAGTATTTGGCTTCATGTACGTGCAAGTGGTCATTGGACACGCCGTGTTTATGATTTATTTCGAATGAAATTAAAACAAGAACACGGAGGTGTATTAAATGATTTTAATGATCTACGTCTTCGTTCATCAATGCGATCACGCATGTCAAAAAGTTATATTGATGAATTACGAGGTGTTAATCAACAAGAAGATCATTTACAATTTGATCTTAATAATAATAATGATGATTGTATACAATCAAAAGCAGTTTCAGTATCATTTCCATTAGTGAATAAAAATCAAAGGAGATCTATTTGTTCATCATGTCATTCAACATTAAGTTTACATGATATACAATTAAATTCAAAAGGTAGAATAAATCAGATGCATACAGAAGAAAATCATACGAATGCAACAATTTTAATAAATCCAAGTACACTTGATAATTTAACTGTTGAAGAAATTGAAAAATATGCGTATGAACAAGATGATGTATTAATGGATGAACAACAAATAAAGCCAATGACAAGACTTAAACCAGCTATTAAAAATAATAATAATAATAATCCTAATCGTTTAACTGTTCCAAGTATTGGGGATTATTGTATAAGAATATCAAATATATCAACAGATAATTATGAACAAAAACATATAGAATTTAGTGAAACACGTTTTTCTGATGCACTTGGATATTTACGTATGTATAAAAATCATAATCGAATACAATTTAATACACTTCAATTCAATGATCGAGAAGATTTACAAGTAAGTTAAATAATTATAAAATGAAATAAAACAAAAATTTATTTTTTTTTCTAGGTTTTAATTGATGGACCATATGGTGCACCATCTCAACATATATTTGAAGCTGAACATGCAGTTTTAATAGCGGCTGGTATAGGTATCACACCATTTGCATCAATTTTACAAAGTATTATGTGTCGATATCGAAATCGTCGACATAAATGTCCACATTGTGAATTTATTTGGAATAATCCTGAAAGTGAAGAACTTCGTATTAAAAAAGTAAAATAGATTTTTTTTGTTTTGTTTTTCTTCTTATTATTATTTAATGAACATTTTCTTAAGGTTGATTTTATATGGGTAACACGCGAACAACGTTCACTTGAATGGTTTATTAGTTTATTAGCACAAATGGAAATCGAACAACAACGTTTAAGACAAAATTCTGATAAAGGTCCTTTACTTGAAGTTCATTTATATGTTACAAGTGCTCAATCACCTATAGATTTAAAAGCATTAAATGTTTATTTATCACTTGATTTAATTGGAAGAGAAAATTCATCTAATTGTGATGCAATTGATGGACTTAGACAAAGAATTAAACATGGTCGACCAAAATGGGAACAAGTAAGAAAAACAAAATAACGTTTATTTTTTATTCTACTTATTTGATCTATAAAACTCTTTTCATATTTTATTCTAAGTTAAAAATACTTTGACTTTGATCAATAGTAAACATAGTTTCGGTAAAATATATATTCTACAAATAATTTATATGTTCATGATAAGAAGGAAAAGTACTTTACGAATGGTTAAAACGACCTTTCTAATAATAATTATAAAATGATATGTAGTTCTGAATTACAAATTTTTTCATTAACTAATGTAATCTTATGATATCTATCGTTTTACGACATTGATATATATATGATCACCTATCCTATCATAGACGTAAATATTAATAAAGAATATATTCATGTGAATGTCACGTGACCTTTTAAAATCTGTTTATTAAAAAAAAATTCAGTATATCCTTCAAATATATTTCTTTGTTATTGACACTTGTTTAGATTTCTGTTCTACATATATGACGGAAGAAATTTTTTCTTCGGTACAAAATGTTTTGATTGAAACTTGCTTCGTATATTGAATATCAGATTATCATAATTATAACAAAGATTAGCGTTTTTCTCTCTCATTAAAACAAATACAATAGATAATATATCTCTAAATAAGAATAGTTCCCGTATTAAAAATTCGAGCATTTGTCTGATCATCATGTTTCTTGTCCTTATAGTGTGATTTTAATAAAAAACATCTTCTTTATTTTGTCTCTATAATTGACATATATTAATTCATACAAAAGTATCTCTTAGAAAGTTTTTTTCACTCCTAGTTTTGTACTTGTCAAACACATACTCTTCTTTTTCAACAATAATATATAATATAGGCGTGTGATTGAAAAATTTAGGACTATTAATAATTTGACAGTTGTGATAGAACAAACAAATATTCTAATATCTTTCTTTTATCTATTTAAGGTATTTACTGATTTATTAAGTCAAAAGAAAGGTAAAATATCTGTATTTTATTGTGGTCCACCAGCATTATCAGCTGAATTAACAACAAAATGTCGTAAATATGGATTTGCTTATAAAAAAGAATTATTTTAACTTTTAGAAAAAAGATAAAGTCATCGTTTCTTGTTTGATTCATTTTTTTTTCTTTTTTTAATTGTATTCTATTCTATTCGAAATAAATTAAATTTATATCATCATGTAAATGACAAGAAATTTGTTTCCAAGTACATTTTTAACTCGTTTAATTTTAAAAAGTAAATCGCATATGAATTCATACTTATTTGACCTATCAAATTAATAAACAACAATAGATAATATTTTTATAAATAAATGTAGGCGTTTTTCATTTACTTTTGATCTAAACTTAAAAGAGCATAATTACTAATTATATTAAAAGTGCGTAAAATGTGGTTTGACGTAACTAGTTTTATTTAAAACTTTTATATTTGGCAACAAATGATTCAGAAGTTTATGTTTCTTATTATACATTTTTAATGGGAGTGAACTTATATTGAATCTGACAGTATATATAGATATATACACATAAATTTATGACGCATTGAATCAAAGTCCAGTACGTCATAATAAATTTGATACTATATATATATACATATAGTTGTGACGTATTAAACAAATTAATTTAGTAGATCTAAGTACATGACATATAATTGAGATCATTATGTATAAAGACTAGGAGAAGAAAAAAAATGAGAGAAAAAATGAAAATATAGAGAAAAGGTGAGTATAAGAGAGAGAGAGAGAGAAAAAAGAGAAAATATATATATATTGTTTAACTGGTCGAACCAGATAGATATTTTTGCTAAACAGATTGCAAAGTTTTCATTGTTAAAAATATAATTCATTCATTTACATTCCCATACAACATACAGTTTTAACAATTCGACTAATTCACAGGTAATGATAAAATACTTATTTATTTCTTTGAACAAACTATACAGTTTAAATAATATATTTTCGCTAGTGCTCCTCTCTGACTATTAAGGCATATTAATATTTATTTTTTGTACGATATGATAAATTTCTTATAAACTCCAAATTTTTTTCTTTTTTGATATAAATAATCAGTATTTAATTTATTTAGTCATAATAAGAATTCAGTGGTAGATATACTTCAAATAAAGGTGACAAAAAAAAAATGATTACGCCTACTCTTTTCATTATATATTTTGATTACATGTCAACTAAGAGACCAATTTTTACTTCTTAAACATATTAAGACTGATATAAATATAATTATTTTTTATTCTTGTACATTTCAAACTTAATAAATATAAATCCGAATACAAAGCATGTCTAGCATCTTATTTTATTTTTTTAAATTAATTCTAATTCACACAGATCTATCACGTACATACAAATATGCGTGCTTTTGACATCTACGTTATTTTACTGTTATAAATAAATATTATAATCATATCTTTATTTTTAGAATGTTGATTTGTTCATCGTATATTATTATTATATTAAATATATTTGGTCTAGTTTTAACCACTCCTGTTAAACAAATATCATTAAATGAGAAAATTGGAGATAATTCATTAGAACAAGCATTTCGTAATGCTGAAAAAACACTTCATCGTTATTATTATTTAATGAAATCTGATACTGATCATCTTGTTCATGGTATGTTACATATTTTAATGAACAATCCAACTTCATTTCCATATATTCCATATCGTGCAATGAATATAGCATTTAAAAATGTGGAAGAAAAATTAGGTTCTGAAGAAGTTGAAACTTTAACAAAACCTTTATTACTTGCTATTGAACAAAATTATCAAGCAAAATCTAAACAACCGTCGACATTTAAATTAACCTATGAAACAAAAGAAAAAATTGAAGATGCATTAGACAAATTTTTAGATGAAGAAGAATTTGATCGTCATTTGTGAATAATAAAAAAACAACACAAAAAAAAGGGAAAAAAATTCAAAATAGAATTTGAAAAAAAAAAAAAAGAAAATCTTATTTTTATTTGCGTTTATGTAATGTTTGTTTACAGGGAATAGAGTAAAAAAAGAAGCTGATGTTGAAGAATATATTTGAATTTTATTGTGTATATATAGTTCGTCTAAATAGTTGTTCGAATAAAAAATGTTCAAAAATGAAATGGAGAAACATTTATTTGTATTACAAATATTGTATGTAATCGACGACGACGATGATGTCGATAATGAGATAAATATTTACCATTGAATTCATTATTATATAAATGTATTTCAAATTCATATTCATTTGATTCAATTAATGTTCGATTTGTTTTAAGATTAAATCCATCGAGTATAAAAGGAAAAGATATATTGAAATTATTTTTATCAATTATTTTTATTGAACTTTTATTTTGATGAGTCATAGGTAAATGATATAAGATTTGATTTGATGCTGTTAAACGTGGTAAAGCAAAAAATCTATAATATATATATATAGCTCGACGAGGAGAACATGTCGGTGAACGTTGATAACATTTTAATAAACAATCACTTTCATTTTGTCGAATATAACCAACAGGACATGGAATATCTATACATTCATAAGCACCTTGTGTATTAAAACATGTACGATCTTGACCACAGTCAATTTGAAATTGACGACATTCATTGACATCTAGGAAAATATATCAGTAAAATCATTTGTTAACGAAGTGACGTCATAAAATAGAAACATGTATATCTTATAAATGAGGAAACCTTTCGTTTTTGAAAACTAAATAGTACAGTTTGTAGATAATTCAAAGGGTTTGACGGAGTACGAATATACTAAAGAAAAACTAATCTTATAATTGAATGAAAAGCACAAATCCTTCCTCCGGAAGTCTCAGATAATGACAAAACAGACATTTCTATTTTGTGACTTAATAGCATCTGTAGAGGTCTCATTTTTTTGTGACTCACATAGTTCGATCGATATTAATTAATCTTAACTAAGTACCAACATTTCTATATATGTCTATGCTAAAAGAATATCTTCTAGACCAATATTCTTATAAAAAATTAAAGTCCAAAGAAGACGGTAAATATCCTATTCTGCCGATATATTTGTTTTTTAAAGAAAATATTTATTTAAAAGAAAAAAGTTTAAATGTAAACCTTGACATTGACTTGAATTGTTTATTTTAAATCCAATTGGACAAAAACATCGATAAGATCCAAGTTGATTTTCACACATATACTGACAAATATTTGCATTTTCAATACATTCATCAATATCTAAACAAAACAAAATATATGAAGTTGTTGTTACATCGGGGACAAAAAAAGAAGGTAACTAGATAAACATTCATATTTTGACTAGAAATATGTCCGTAAAAAATATATTTGATCGATTTTTTTTCTTAAATAATATATGAATTTTATGAACTCTTTAAATACCTTCACATAGCCCTGATCTGTAATTTCTTCGATATCCTATTTCACATGTATTTGGTCGACAATTTTCACACTCTATTAAAGTATAAACAAGAAATTCTTAATATTTGTTTTTCGAATAATATTAAATACCTTGACAAAATGAACCGTTACGTTCAAAACCATTAGGACATATTGTACTTTCTTTCAATTCGGAAATTGTACCAGTAAACAATTCAAGTTGTTCTTCATTTTTATCATAAATTGGTGCTAAATATTAATTAAATTGAACTATTAATTTAATAAAAATGTCTTCTTACATGTATACAACTGTTTAAGATAATGTACAGGTGGTGGAATTGTTATAGGATATAGTTTTTTAGGTGTACATTGAATTGTTTGAGTATAATTAAATGCTAATTTTTCTTTTCCAATTAATGTACCCGTAGAAAATGTGTAAAATTGACCTGAAAGCATTCAAAATAAGCCTCCATTCTATATTTAGAATTTTAATATTTTTAAAATGTTACTTATAAATAATTTAGTTTTACATTATTACAATTTTCTAACCATGTCAATCATCAATGTTTTCAAATTTTATACTTAATAAACTTCAACGAAATCTACTCTTATCATAAATAAAGACTATTAAAATCCTTCCAAATAACAACGTACTATATTATTTTATGATAAAAATAAATAAGTCTATTTTTTTGTTATCATCATATTCAACACACAATAATATAGTTGTTATGACTATTGTTATATGAATATTCTTTTGTTTCGTATATAATTCTGATTATCCGCTTATAAATGAATTACTTTCGAAAAGATACATATAAAAATCATTATTGATAAAGTATTTTTCAAACAAATAAAGAAGGTATGTTTCTTTTTTTAACAATTGAACTCATTTAATTAACTGTAAGTCTTTCTAATTCAGTTAGTATTTACCAAAGAAAGAAATCAAATCCTATTATAATAAGATTTATTTTTATCAAAAGAAGACTAATTGTTTACCCGTAGAGAGATTAGTATATTTTAATTAAAAATAATGTATTATATATATATATATTGAGATCATTATTTTGAATGAAATTTGTTTTGTATATTTTCTTATGATGAAAAAATAAACATCTAAGCATTTACTAACAACAACAAACAAGAAAAACATTTTTTTTTTCTTAATAATCTCGTTTAAATAATGTTTGTTGTCTATTTGAAAATAATGGAACAAATTGAAAATGTAAACGAAAACGATGACGATTTGTTCGAGTCGATTGTTTTTGTTGTTGTTGTGGTGGTGGTATTTCATTTATATTTAATAGATCATCACCTGATATTGGTTCATTCATTGGTGAATCCATATTTTTCATTAATATTTGATGTGATGGTCGTTGAAATAATGTATCTTTACGTAATAATTTCGAATTAAATTGACACCAACATGGAAAATATTTTTTTATTATAGTTGGTAAACGTGTCAATAATAAACTATCACCAAATCGTGCAAATAAAAATAAAAAACGACATACTAATAACGTTAATTCATTGTATTCGGATAGAATATTATTATTGTTATTATTGGCATTATTATTATTATATGAATTATGTTTAAGAATATATTCATAAAATTGATTTAAATGAAAACTCATTTGTATAAAATGTTGTGGAAATGTTAATAGAACATATTTGAAAAGAAATAATAATAATAAACGATAACATAAATGACATATCGAACGTTGTCGTTTTAATTTAAGTAATGTTGTTTGTATCATTAAATCATTTGTTGAAAGGCGTTGTTCTTCATCAGTTCGTTGTTCGTTATTAAAATCTTGTGAACGATTCGATTTATCTGAAAGATAAATTTGTCCTGGTTGACCTGAATATGATGTACGTAAATGTGATTGAGCATCTTTCATCATTGCAGTATTTTCATATGATGCTGTAGAATATTTACGTTTATCATCGGGTAATGCTAATGATGGACGTGCACTTGTTATTATATTATGACTAAAAAATTTCGAATGAAGTTTGGTATATGGATCCGTATCTTTAAGTAAGCTTCGATTATGTTGTAAAAATTTTGAATAACATTTAATACATGTCGCTTTTTCAGCAGTTAAACGTAAATTATTTGTTAGATATTGTTGAAATTGATCAGGAAATGATAAATCATGTTTTATTGAATTATTCAATTTACGTTGATTTATAAAACAACAGATAAGTATAAATATGAAAATGATTATATCAATTAATGGTAATAATACCATATTTAGTGTTATTAAAGGAAGTAATGTTAATGTCACGGGATATCTTGGCGTATAAAATATATAATTATAACTAAATATAAGTGCTAATGATCCACTTAAAATCAATGCAACATTTCTATGTTTTGTAATTAGAAGATTTTTTCCACTATATATATTCATCGAATATTTCGTTTTTAATAAACGATAAACGCGAATAAAATGTTGAAGTACACTTATTGATATGATAAATAAATGAAATGTACTGAAATTAATTAATAATTGTTGAAAAAGTGTCAATGGTAATGAATAGAATGTTACAGATGAATAATGTAAAAGATTTGGATAATAATGTTTTAAAATTAGAATTATAAAATAGACTAGTGAAAGACATATATTTGAAAATGAATACGCACGCACCCAATTACGATGTAAACAATTATAGAGTATAGATTTTGATGAAAAAACTATTGAACGTGGTGGTTGATTTTGTCGTTGTTGTTGATTACTATTAGAAAGTGAGATTATAAGGAAATGAGTTTTTGATTTTTTTTCTTAGAAAATATATTATCCTACTTCGTATCAAATGGATTATTTTTTGTTGGTTTTTTTTGAAATGATAATATAAGTATAATCGTATGTTCGACAAGAATAAAACAAAGAGTACATATTTCAATTATTTGTAAATAAGATAATTGTTTAGATCGAGATTGATTTTGTGGACGAAAGTTTGGTTGACGAGTTGAATTTGGTGGATTATATACAAGTTGTTGTAGAGCTAGTGGAATATTGTAGGATCTATTAGATAATATTCTTGCATTGTAGCTATTGCTTGTTATGTTGTTCATCTTTTCTTTTTTGTGTGTTATATAAAAGGTCGCACTTTCTTTCTTTTTTTAATATTCAATTAAAAACGTATTTATAGTAAATATAACGCAAAAAAAATTAAATTTTAATCTAGAGAAGAATGAATAAGATTTGAAAAAAAATTTCTATATTTAATATCAAATAATATTAATTGAAATCTTTACTAAATTCTAAACGAATGTCACGAATCAGTCGTCGTTATTGATGTCTATCATTTATAGCTCACTGAATCTTTACTATTTCTTCTAAATTTTAATGTCGTAGAACATCATCATATTTACTTCATTACGATCATTAAAAATAACAAGATATGTCGTCTGAGGAAAAAAAATTTCTTTTTTTAAGAATAAAAGATAATGTGAAATTCCCCAGAGAAGAAAAACAAAATGAAAGAATGTATGTATATAGTTAAGCAAAAATAATATTCATTTTTTATGTGACCTAAATAAGTAAAATATACAAAACAAATACGAATGATTGCACGAAATAATATTGTTGACACGACAATAATTTGAATAAAGATATGCATCTTCATATAAGTAAGTAAGAAAAAAAAAACGAGCGAGAGAAAGAAATAGATGAAACGCAAGACATATATTAACATCAGAATTTGTCAGTCTATCAATCTTCTTTTTCTCGTTTGTGTTTAGATACTTGAACACACAAATGCATAAAAAGCGGAAATTTACTACTAATGTACATATTATATTATCGAAACAATAATCAAGTTAGACAGTTAGTCAAAAACATATTCCTAAACCCTTTCATTATCGAACATACCTAAACCAGCTTGAACAATTGTTTCGGTAAAAAATGTATTATTTTCGAACTCATAATCATCTGAATAGGAACCATTTATTTCAAGTATTCTATCCGAAACTCTTTCATTTATAGTCATATAAGAACCTAAATAAAGAAAACAAGAATAATATATATGTTGATATATAATAAAATTAATATTTTGTTTTTCTTGTTGTTTTTTAAATTTTACCATCAGTAAATGATATAATTATATGACGTTGAAATGAATCATCCATAGAACAGTATGGAGAAGTTGTATTTGTATTGGTTTGTTTAGTTGTTAGAAAAAAGAATGAAGGTGGAAAAAGAAAAAGAAAATTTGATTGAAATATAGGCAAGAATTTTGATGAGATTTTAAATAATGTTGATTTTTTTAAAATTGAATTTATATGAAGTATAATATTATCAATATTAATTCTTTTTATTTCACCCTGGAGATGTCGAATAGATGTTGCTAATGGAACTAGAAGAGAAAGATAAAGAAAAAAAGATTGATTTTAGAGGTCAAACTAATAGAAGAAAATCTTATTTCATTTACTTCCTTTTACTTCCTGTATCTTTCTTTTTCTTTTGACTAGAAATTCTAAATCAGTATTTTTTTCTCGGTTTTTTTTGTATCATACCAGATCAGATCTCATTCAACTTCTCTTCTTCTTCTTCGTCTTTTTCTTCATCACCATCGTCATTGTTTTTTTTTGTCTCACATTGAATCAAATGACGATGTTCATATTTCAGATTGATTTACTCAGATGAACGCATGCTGTTGCTCGTCTCACAAGCTAACTAGTAGCATTCTCTCGATCGTTATTCTTTTCTTTTCTTTTTACTATATTCCTCTTCAGCTATTCATTTTGACAATATGACGATGAAGGGTCTCTTTTCTTTTTCCTCATTTCTTTTCACTATACTACAATGAAGATGTATCCCGGCTTCTTGACAACTAACATAGAAAAACATAGTCATATATATATATAAATAGAGAAAAAATAATATGTGAACATATGGATATTGATTAAAAAATCATCGAGCATATTAAATAAACAAAAAAAAGGTCTTAATATATCTTTTCAAAAAACATAAATTATGTAAATCAATTGCAATATGTTCCTTAACATTTGAAGAGGGAGTTGAATACTTCTTTATATTAAGTGTACTTCTATGTCTACACGCAATAATATCATACTACAAGATCTAATAATAAATTTGAACTTTTTGTTTATAATTCTTTTTTAATGCTCACAACTCAATCAAGATTACATCTCATACCAACTAAAGCCAAACACTATAATCATTATTTTCTATATTTAATACTATTAACCATAATAATAATACATTTTACTATATAATTTAGTTGTCTCGACGAAATATTTCTAGATTATATGTATGAAACAAAATAATATTTCATTTACTTTCATAAACAATTACATCGCATGTTGTTGTGGCAATACCCAATGCATTTTCAGCTGAACATGTATAACGTCCAGTATCCGAAAGTTGAACTGGATCGATTCTAGAAATAGAATAATAAGAGAAAGAGATGATTGTCATCGTTATATATCTATATATATATTACTTTAATGAATTATTAGGCAATATTTGTAATCGAACACCATCAATTCCCATTAGAGTACTTCCATTTTTTGTCCATTTTAATATCGGTTCTGGCCATGCATCAGCAAGACAATTGAGTATAAGCATTGAACCGCTTACAGGTCGTTGTGTCAATCGAGGCAATTTGATTGTAAACGTTGGTTGTGCTAACCATAGTCAAATAGAATACACATACATAAATCGGAAATGAAGAGATGTTAGAAAAAAGAAAAAAAACGGGAAACGCAAAGTGAGAGGTCATAAGTGGAGAGAAAAGCAAAAAAGAAAAGGAGGAAACAATAAATGCAATGTGTCTATGTGCTTTACTTAGAATATTGACTGAATGGTAGGATTCTGAACGAGTACCATTATCACTTCGGAATATACATTTATAAACGCCAGAATCCGAAGCCTATTTATAAAATTATAGATAGAAGATAGAAATTCTTTTCAAAAAATCTATTTTACTGATGTTTGATCAATAGTTAATGTTCCATTTTGATAATCAATTCGATTTCGATTTACTGTATTCATATTTAATGGTGATCCATTATGAAACCATTCGATTATACCAAGAAAATTTTCATTCATTTTTCTATCAAGTTCACATGAAAGTATAAGACGATGGCCAGCTGTTATTGCACGATTATGACTTTCTGGATGAGCTAAAATATAAATATAAATTTTTTATAAAGGTTTTAATATTATTAAAAAAAGCATACGTCGAACAGTAACTGTTACTGGTAATGACTTGATAGTTTGTTGATTGAATGTATTATTTGAGAAACATTGATAGATACCTGTATGTTCATCAATAGCTTTATCAATTCGAAGAATATTTCTATCATAGAAATGTGCTAAATATGGAATATAATTTATTAAATGACCATTATGTAACCATTGAATATCTAATGGATTAATTAAATTTGTTTGACAAATTAATTCTAAAGAATCCCCATAATCAATAATTAAATTTTTTGGTGATATTATAAGAAAAGGGATTTGATCTACGAAAACAAAAAAGTTTTTATTTCAACAAAAAAAAACCTAAGATATTTATTTACTTGAATTAGTTTCATACAGAACAGTTGTTGTTGGTGGTGGTAATTGATGATCCAGAACAATTAATGTAAATTGTTTCGAGGTTTTACCAACTGTATTTTCTGCAGAGCAAACAATTTCACCTGCATGATTTTTTCTATTTCATAAAAATATAATGAATATTTTTCTAACTTATTCTTATAATATACTCAAGTTGATCAATATATAAATTCCCAAATGAATCGATAATAGCTGTTCCTGATATATTATATATTCCAAACCAACTTATCATTGGAATTGGAATGCCATTAGCTTGACAAGATAGTTTTATTGATTGATCAACAATACCTGTATAATGTCTTTCGATTTGATCAATCGATGGTGGAACTAAATCAAAAGAAGTTTTACAGACAAAAACAAATCCCAAAATGAATGATATACCTTGAACTTCTAATCGAATTTGTGCATAAGTTCGTCGAACAAGATTTTCTGCCCAACATAAATAATAACCTGTATCTTGAACTTGTAAATGATGAATTCTTAATGAACCATTATTCAATATTTGAAAGCCTTGAAAAACAAAAGAATCTTATTTATTTTACGACGCAATAATTATATATATATATATATTACCTGGCTGTGTGTCTATTGATCGACTTGCTTTTGTCCAATAAATAACTGGTAATGGATGTCCATCTGCTTGGCAATTAAGTGTAATAGGTTTATTAACTATACCAATAATTTCATTACTTTCTACTGTAACTATTGGTGGAACTAATAGAATGTTAAACAGAAAAAGTAAAAGTATATGTCGCATTAAAAAAAAAAGAAGACGAAGAAGAAAAAGACGGAAGAGAAAAAAAACGTTATTGTTTGTCATGTTTAGGAAGCATGTTAAAAAAAATTGCGTTAATGAGAAAAGAAAAAAAAAGAAGTGAGAAGAATACTAAAAAATGTTTACCATTTATATCAAGATGAACTTCAATAGAATCTTGTCCAGCTTCATTTATTATCATACATTGATATTTACCATTATCATATTTTGATGTATGAAGAAGAAGTAAACTATTTGATGAGGAAATCTTATATTTTAAATCAATATTATTTTCAAATGTTTTTAATTCGATATTATTATGAAACCATCTAAATATATTTAAGGACAAAAAATTTTAATAAGTTATATTTCTTTTTATTACGTGACAATAGGCGTCGGATATCCTTGTATTATTTGACAGGGAAGTTCAATAGGTTTTGGAGCTATAACGAGATAGGATGTATTTTCTCGTTGTATTCGTGGAGGAACTAAAAATAGAGAAAATCTCATTATGATCTAATAAAAGAAAAGAAATTATATTTCAATACTTAATACTGTTAAACGAAATTGCTGTTTTGCTTCACCAGCTTTGCTATATGCCAGACAAGTATAAATTCCTGCTTGAGATGGATCGGCTTGAATAATTAATAATTGTAAACTACCTGGACCAATCCTAAAATATAATAAATAATTAAATAAATAAAAGAATATTCTCAATTTTCTTTACCTATATCGTGAATTAAATGTATCAATAGGTAGACCATCTTTTTCCCATGATATAGAAGGTAATGGATCACCTTAAAAGAAAAAGAAAATGAAATATTATTTTTTTTTCTATAATTATATTTCAACCTTGAGGTGTACAAGTCAATGCAATATGATGATGTTGAATGACATTAACATTATCTTCATTTGGTTCACGTTGTATTATTGGTGGAACTAAAATGCGATAATAAAAATATACAAAAAAAATAAGAATTTTTTTTTCTATATACCAAATATTTGTAATTCAATATGATTTGATAGTTCTCCAGCTATATTTGTACCAATACATGTATAACGAGCATTATCATTTTGATTAACAGAATTTATAATTAATATTCGGTTATCATCAATTAATTTATATCGATCTATATGATTTCAAAACGGATCAACTATGTATATTTTGTGAATGTTTTTAAATTTACCCTCATTTATTTTTAAATTTCGTCCATTTATTAACCAGATTATATGAGGTGTAGGTTTTCCGTACATAGGACATTCTAGACGAGCTGTTTGATTTGATTTCACTTGATAAATTTCAACTAAATTCGATCGATCAATCGTTGGTGGTGCTAGAATATATATTCTGTTGAATTTTCTTTTTCAAATAAATATATATTTCATACTAAAAACATCTAGTTGATATGTTAAATTGACTTGACCAGCTACATTTGACATTTGACATGTATATGAACCAGCATCAGATAAATGTGCTGCATCAATTTGTAATTTTTCACCATTTTCTAATAATCTATTAATAAATTCGAGCAATATAATCTAGTATAAAATTAATTATAAATCTACCTAGCATAAGAATGAGATCCTAATAGACTTTTTTCATCTTTTAACCAGTTATAATTTATTTGTGGTACACCAAAACCATAACATGATAAAATAATACTTTTTCCCAGTATGACATATGGATTGCGGTTAATATTTGATGAATGAATTTCCGGTGGTACTGAAAGAAAAAAAATTTAGTTTTTATTTCTAAATTATTTTTTGTTTTACCATATATCTGAATATCAAATATTTGTTGTGAACGACCAGCTAAATTTTCTGCTTGACATTGATAACGACCATGATCAATTAAAGATACATTTTCAATATATAATTTAAGATTATTATCTTGTATTAATATTCTTGAAGAAAAAAAATTAAGTTTAATAAAAAAAAAGATTTTTATGTAAACCTTTCAGAATCAAATAAAATTTGATCATTTTTTGTCCAAATAATCGTTGGTAAAGGATGAGCATGAAGTAAACACGTTAAAACAAGAGATTCACCGTTTAACTTTGTTATTTCATTTATCATTTGACCATTATTAAGTATTGATGGTGGTACTAATAATATAGAAGATTTTATTATGTCAGTAAAAATTAATATCATAAACGTACAAAGAACATCAATATGTATATCTTTTTTCATAATACCAATTTTATTTTCAGCTAAACATGTATATAAACCAGTATTATTTAATGATGCATGAATTACTTGATAATATCGATTATGTCCTGATGATAATCGATGACTAAGAAAACAAATGTTTTGATTTATATTATTTATTCGATAGATTAAATTACTTATTAAATTCCCAGGAAATTATTGGTTCAGGAATACCATAAGCATTACATTCTAGAGTAAAATGATTACCAGCTATTGGTGTTGATGTAGGAGTGATTGATATTGAATCAATTGATGGAGGAACTAAATATTATTTTATTAGATTTTCTTACTTCCTTAGCAATTTATTTAAAAACAGAAAGAAAACTTGTATTCGCCCATTAAATTTAAAATAAAATCTGTTGAAGTGTCAACCATTCAAAGGTGTAATGAGTAGATAATATTATTTACACTTCAATTCTCTTTAAAAATGATAATGTCTACCCGCCTACGATTTTTACTAATCGAAAGAGTTCGAAAAATTAATCATATTTTAGAAAACATGTAAATGATCTAATATCTAGATGAAATTTGCCTGTTGACCTTTGCTTTAAATAGAGAGACTTTAGATAGAATCAACTATTTGCATGTATAGCTAGTAGAGAACTTTTTGATTTAGTCGACATTTTTCTTTGTCATAACATCTTGATATGTCAACGGAAATGTAATGAAAAATAAGAAAACATATAATTTGAATTATAGATGTGAAGTCTTTCTATCTAAAATCTAGGTTAAATATAACATTTCATCAAGATAACAGATCATTTTGATGATTATTTTTAAACGGCTTTCGATTAGAGAAGATCGCATGTTACTGATTATTATCGTTCTAAACATCTTCATCCTACACTTATTGCTATTCAAAAAGAAAACTATAATTACTCAGTACTACTTCTATTTATAACAGAAATATATACTACATTTTATTCTTTCATACCTAAACGATTAATACGATAATGTTGTTCAACATTACCAGCTTCATTCGAAGCAATACATGTATAAATTATTTGTTCGTTATTTTTTATCGACGAAAGTGTTATTGATAAATAATGATTACCATATTGTAAATGTCGACCTTCTTTAAACCAAACAATCTATTAAAAAAAAACAAATTTAATAAATATCGATATGATTGATTCGTTTTTTTACTGTAGGTTTAGGATTTCCATATGCTGAACATGTTAAATTTACAGTTGAATTAAAAATTGCTTCAATATTTGTCGTATCATTTTCAATTCGTGGTGGAACTAAGGTGAAAAAAAAGCAAATTTTAATAGATAAAAATTAAATTCTTACTTAAAACTTGTAATTCAAGTATTTGTTTTGCTTTTCCTGCTAGATTTTCTGCTAAACATGTATACATTCCTGCATCATATTCATTTATATTTCGAATTTCAAGATATTGACCATCTCGAAATAATTCAATACGTTTATTCTAAAATAAGAAAATATTTTTCTTTTTTTCGTAAGTATAAATACTTACATCAATAGGAAATATTTTTTCATTTTTTAACCATTTTATTATTGGTCTTGGTATACCTTTAACTAAACATGGTAATGTATAAGTACGATTTAATTGAATTTTATGACGATTTGTTGATACATAATCAAATGTTGGTGGTAGAAATACATCAACTAAAAAATTCCTTTCACTTTTTCCTATTGAATTTGATGCTATACATGTAAATGTTCCACCATCATGTTCATCTTTTACAGCAATTTGAAGAATTTCTGATGAATTATTTTTTATACTAAAATATTGATTTATATCAATTGGATTGCCATTTTTACGCCATTCAATAGTTGCTAATGGATGTGCATATGTTTGACATATCAATTGAACTGTATTATTACTTTCAACTTGAAATAATTCTTCTGTATCTCCATTTAAAATTGTAGGTGGGACTGAAATAAAAAATAAATGAATAAATTATAATAGATAAAGTTCAAGAAAATTACCAAGAACTTCAAGTTGAAATTCAAGTGAATCAAAACCATATTCATTTGCAACGATACATTTCCATATTTGACCATCTTCTATTTGTACATTTGGAATTATTAATTGATTTTCATTTAATTTTAATGAATGACGAATTAATTCATGTTCAGGTTGAAATAAAGGTGGAATCCATGTTGTATTTGTTATTGTTATCATTGAAGATCGTTCAGTTGTATAAGGACATGAAAGTGTTATTGAAGAATCTCGAACGACACTTGGATTAGTATTGATATGACTTCGTAAAATCTCCGGTGGTCCTATATTAAATAATTTTTTTTAAACAAAGATTATTATTTTAATTAACCTGATATAATAATATTAAAATATCGTCGATCTATTCCAAAGCTATTTGAAACAATACATGAATAAAGTCCTGCATCTTGTCTATCTACAGATGCTATGTATACTTCTTTATTAAATTCATATAATTCGATTTCATTTTTATACCTATATAAAAACTGAGATTTAATATCAATATAAATTCTGAATAAGTTGTCTAACCATCGAGTTACAGGTATTGGATATCCACTTGCTGGACATTCGAGATTTAAACTTTCATTACGACGAATAATGATACGATTTGTTTCATTATTTAAATTAATTGATGGTAATTCTTTCGAAATGAAAAAAAGAAATTTATTTTTAATAAAAATATGTTACTTACCATATGTTTCTACTATAAATCTTTTTCGAATTTCACCTGCTCTATTCATTGCTATACATTCGTATACACCTGTATCATTAATCTAAATAAATAATAAACAATATTATTAAAAATAAGTAAAATAAATTATTTAACCTGAACATTTTCAAGAAGCAACTCTTCGTCTCCAGTTGTGTTCAATAGTAAATTTGTTTCCAATGACCAATTATATGTAGGTTTTGGAAAACCATATGCTGAACAAACTAATGAAACTGTTGAATTAATTAATGCTTGTATTTTAACTTGTGATAATGAATCATTAAATACAGGAGGAACTAAATATATATTTATATGTATTTTTATTTAACTATATTGTAAGAAATGTTTACTTGATACATCAATATCAATATGATTTTCAGCATGACCAGCAGAATTTTCAGCTAAACATGTATAACGACCAGCATCATTCAATGTTAAATATTCAATTTCAATATAAAGACCATCATATACAAATCTTAGAAATAAATAGAGGGTTATTCAAAAAAAACCATCGAGTAAATTCTTATTTACCGTATACGTGGTAACTGAGCTATACTTTTTCCATTAAAAAACCATCGTCGTATAGGTATTGGTTTTCCTTCAACTGAACATGGTAAACGTAAATATTCTCCATTTTTATAGGATTGTTTATTAGCAAACATTCCATTATTTTCTTTTGTAAATCTTGGTGGCACTAAAATAATTCAAAAACAAAAACTATAATTCGAAATAATAAAAAATTTATTTATTTTACTCATAACATTAACATCATATATAATATCAATTGTTCCAATTGTATTTGTTGCTTGACAAATATATCGACCTTCATCTTCGGACTAGATTAAATAATTAAAAGTTTATTCTCCTCTAAGATTTTCTATTCTCATTATACTTTTATTTTATTAATAATTAATTTTTTTCCATTTTGTTTAATAAGAATATGTTTTTTTTTCAATTGAATTTCATTTCCATTATAAAACCATAATAATTTTGGTTTAGGTAAACCAATAGCTGGACATAATAATATTAATGTATGATTTAATATAACGGATTTTATTTGCAGACGACTTATATTTTCTGTTTGATGTTCAAAATAAGGTGACACTATTTTTTAATTAAATATAAAAAAGATTAAATTAAAATAATATATTTCTTACTATAAACAGATATATTAAATAATCGTTGTGTTCTACCAGCTTTATTTGTTGCTGTACATCGATAAATACCTTCATCTATTTGTTTAATATTTGTTAATATATAATGATTATTATCGTCAAATGTTTCAAGTTGTTCATCATTTTTAAACCATTGAATAGTTGGTTTTGGTGTACCTGTTGTTGGACATACTAATGTTATTGATTTATTGAGTAAAGCTTGTACTATAGTTTCTTCTTCACCACCGATAATCCAAGGTGGAACTTAAAAAATAGAAAAAAAAAACAAGTTATTATCTTCTTTTTATTAAATAAAATCTATACTATTAACATTGAATTGTATGTAGTGAATAGTTGTTCCTGCTGGATTTGTTGCTATACAATGATATTGATCTTGATGTGTTGTTTCAACTTTTCTGATTTCCAGAGAACCATTTGAATGTAAATACATATTTGTATCTTGATTATCTAGATGAAAATTGTTTAAAAGAATTTATGCATAGTGAATATTAAAGAGATATACTTACAATTCATGGAATTATTTTGACGAAACCATTCGATAGTTGGTTGAGGATAACCAGTAACTGGACAAGAAAGAAGAATTGACATGGATGCATTGACATCAAGTTCAATTTCTTGAGAATTATTTAATAAACTGGGTGGTTCTAAAATAGATTAATGTATAGAATTTATAGGCTTCGATTCTAATTATAATAGTCGAGGTACTAGACTACTCTCAGCGTGTCCTATTTGTGTATTTATATAAGATTTACTAAAAAAAGAACTCAGTATGAAACAACGTCGTAACTCATTAGTGTGTCCTTCAGCTTGATACTTCTTTTTTTAAACATCTGTAATTTTTTTTCTAGTCTCTTAAAGTTAATAACTAACTTTTATCATTATTATATCACATCTTCTTTAATTGCAGATGTATTTTCTTAACTAGTAAAAAGTATCTCAGCGAAATAAAATCGAGGGTAAAGAATTTTTATACCATAAACATCAACTTGATATTGTTGTTTTGCTTGTCCGAATTGATTTGAAATTTGACAAATATATGAACCACGATCTGTTGGTTTCAATGAATTGATATTTAATGAACTTGTTGAATCCATACTCATTCGATCATGTTCAAAAATTAATATCTAAATAATATTTTTGTCAAAAAAAGAAAATCATTCAAAGAAGATATCCTATTTTACTTGATCATCTTTAAACCATGTGACAGCTGGTTTTGGTAAACCAATATGATCACAAGATAAAAGCAAAGGTTTTAAAATAACTCCATTTAAGTATCTATCAGATTCAAAAGTAAATCGTGGAATCACTAAAATAATCATAATATTTATAACTAACTTTCAAATAAGTTTATATATACTTGTAACGCTTAAATTAAAATTAGCACTTGCATTTCCAAATAGATTACTAGCAAAACATGTATAAATTCCAGTATGATATTGTTGAATGTTTCTAAGAAGTATTTCTGTTTTGTTATCATTATCATAGAGATGTTCTGTATGATTATAATACCAACTAAACAAAAAAATAAACAAATAAATATTTTTGTTTCGATAATAAAAATTTTTTGTTACATTATTTGAGGTTTAGGTGAACCATATACTTCACAAATAAGTTGAATTTGTTCATCTATTTCAACTTGAATTTGTTCATTAGAAATATTTATTGTTGGTTTAACTTAAGAAAAAAGAAAAAGAATAAAATAAAGAAGAATTACTTTTTTTCTCTACCTCCAACATCAACACGAATTGAAACAGATGATGATCCAACTGTATTTTGAACAAAACATGTATAATTACCACTATCTTCTTCTATTAATGCGTTTCTTATTTCTAAATATCCATTTATATTTGTTCGATAACGAGTTACCTTTATTTATATTATTAAAAATTACATCACATTCAAAATTTAAAATCTTACAAGTTCATCATCTTTATACCATTGTACATCAGGAAACATTTCACCTGTTACAGTACATATCAAATCAATGTCATCACCAAGTGACATCAATACATGTGAATGATTTGTTGATACTATTGGTGTTTCTAAAAAAACAAAATAAATTCAATACAATATATTCATATTAAATAATATACCAGCATAGATAAGTTGAGCAGTTTTAATATCTACACCTGCTGTATTACTTCCAATACATTCATAAGAACCTTCATCTTCTTTAGTTGCCATCATAATGTTCAAAATTCCATTATGACTTCGTATTTTTGCTGATTGTTCAATTGGATTTAGATTATTTTGTCGTCTCCATACTAATAATGGACGCGGAATTCCAGTCATACCAACACATGTCAGTGTAATATTCCATTGATAGGAATAGATTATTGTTTGAGGATAAACATAAACATATGGAATTTCTATTCATATAATATTCATATATATAATTAAATAACATTTAAAATAAATTATACCTTGTACATAGATTATAATACGTTCTTGTGTTTCACCACCTTCATTATTTACAATACATACAAAAACTGATCCATCATCAGATTTTTGAATATTTCTAAATATTAATAAGAAAATAAATAGAAATTTGTTTTTTAGAATAATTTACTTGATTTCTAAAGTGCCATTTTCATAAATTTGTGTTCGATCTTTAGATAATTCAACTAATATCGATGGTGATAGATCTTGTTTCCATTTCAAATTATAATTTTCAGTATTTTGTACTCGACAATCAATTGAAACCGAGCTATTAATTAATGCAAATAATGATTTTGATGGTACAATTTGAATAAGTGGTGGTGGAGCTATTTTTTATAATTTAAATAAAAAATCAAATCTTTTCTTCTTATTTTAAACTTACCAAGTACATCAACTTTAATTTCACCAATATCAAATCCACTTGCACTTGTTACATTGCATATGTAAGATCCTTCATCATTAATTTCTCTTGGTTGATCAATTAAATATTCCACAGTAGTTATATCAGCTCTAGAATATAAATATTGCAAATAAAAAAAACGATTCTATGATATTTTATATACGAATAATTCGATGTCGATATTAATTGTCCATTTCTTAACCATTGAACTTGATATGCAAGTTGACTTTGAGTATGACATTGAATTTTAGCGGGATTATTTGATCGTATTTTAATAGAATTTATATCAATATTAACAACTGGTTTTAATGGAACATAGGATGCAAGTGCTGTTGAACTCAAACGTTGAAAACGATGACCACTACTATCAATACCAGTTAACTAAATTTAATATATTAAATTAATACAAGAAAAGACACATAGTTATATACATTACTCGAATATAGAAGAAAGAATTATGAATAGGTGGTTGAAATTTTTCAATTGTTGAATAAAATGATGGAATAAATGGACTTTCTTGAATTGTTTCATTGACAAGTACATTACCAAATAAATCAATTAATTCAATTTGTTCAGCATTACGAATATCATCTTTATTATCGATTTCAAGTATTAAATAAGTTAAAGAACCTTGCATTGGTTGTCGACGTGTTCGAATTAAATCCGTCACAGGATTTGATGAAAATCCATGTCGAAATATTAATCGACTTAAACCTGTTATACGAATTGAATGTGCAGATGATGATGTTACTTGAATTTGCCATTGACCAATCTAAAAATGAATATAAAGAACTGCGTATAGTCATTGTTTTTATAATTCATCAAATCTGACAAGAGATTTAATTATCTTTATGTCAAAAATAAAAATGAATTTACCATTGGGTGTTTAACATTTAATATATAAACTTCTTTAAGACGTAAAAGACGTGTAAACCAATCACGTGGATTTAATGTTTTTTCTATGAACAAAAAAATTCTCATGTATTCAATAGTATTATTATTCATACTTGATGGATCAATTAAGATTACTTGTGGATTTGCACCACTAACTGATATAGTAAATTCTAAAAGTTTTGAATCAACTGCTAATGTATAATTTTGTTTATTTCGTTTGATATTATCAATAACTAATAAATTAACTTTTCGTGTTTGAATTGTATATTGGACAAAATTAAGAATTTCGCTGACTTGTTGTTTATGTAATGTAAATACTTGTCCACTACTTGTTGCAGCTATTTTATGAAATATTTGATAGCCAATATGAGTTTGATCACCACAATCACCTGTCATAACGAATACAACCTTTTGTTATGATACAGAAAGATAAAAATCAAAAATAAAATTGAAAATAAATATTTCTTTTTACTTGACTTTGTTTTTCTTGAATTAGTTTTAGAACAATATCACCTAATATATAATCTTTTGAACGAGCATCAGTAAAAACATAAATAAATGAATTTGGTAATGATTGTTCAAGTGCTAATTTAATTGCCGTTATTGTCATTTCTGGACAATCACCACCACCTTGGACAATTAAATCTTGTAAACCACGTTGAAATCGATTTGAATCACGCGTTTTTAATACAGGACCAACATCTATATATATATAAGCATATTAAAACAAAAATTGTTGTTTTCGTTTTTGAATATTTTATTATTTTCTTTTACCTGGATCAGCAAATGGTATAAGTATGTAATCATAAATAGAATATTCACGTCGAAGTGTTGCATTATATATATGTGTTGCGCCTTCAATAACTTGTAAAAGATCATCATGCATTGATCCAGTTACATCAAATACAAATGCTACACTTGATGTTCCTAATGGTGGAGTATTTTCATCAGAATAATTTATTAATAATACTATTATTAATACTATTATAACTTTCATCTTTAGTTCAAAATTGAATATGTATATACATATAAATTGTATGATGTATATATTTTGACTCTTATATGTATTATCATACATATACTCGCTTTTTTTTTTTCTTCTTTTCTCATTCAGTTTCTTTCTATGTAAAGCCTTCAGGATATATTCAATCGGCAAAGGAGAGAGCGGATGAACGATGACCTAATAGATTAAATCAATGTGTTACTAGTTGAACAACTAGATGTGTTTATGCATGCATGCACGCAAAAAGAAGACTAACGGTTAGATGAACTTAGGAGTACAATTATTTATTATTGTCTCTCTCGCAATACATGACCAATCGATTGACTTCATTTGATATTTGTATATTTAGACACATTAGCCTTCAGGTAAAATACAACTGTTCACAATGATTATTATTTTTATTATGTTACTATAATCATTTTCTTGTCTAGTTGTAACAAAAATATATATATTATCGTTTTTTTCTGTTACTATTTTTATAATAGAATCATTGAAATATCATAAAATCAGGATTAAACACATTATATAATTGTCTGATAAAATCAAAAATTCTATAGGAAAACGGCTTTGACGTTAAATCTTCGCCTACATTTAAATGTCAACTTGTTTCCGGTTTATAAAGCTCATGAGAAAAGACTAGAAATTTATATAATGTACGGATTACTTTCAATAATAATCAATATAGATATATATTTTTATTTTGTTTGAGCTGTTTCGATTGATGTAAAAATTTTTTATTTATAAATAACTATATATGTTAAAAATAAAAAAAAATACTAATGATTATATATAATTTATTCAACTAATAAAAATAAAAGCTCAATCTAGATAATAACTATCGAGCACAAAAAAAAGAGAATTTTCTCAATTAATATTTGATTAATATTCTATAAAATAAAAGCATATTTTAAGTAATAAGCAAATAGTATAATGAGTCGAAATATATGAACATCTGTAACCCTGACGTCATGATCTCTCATCATTTGCTCACTTGATTAAAGTTACTTGTAAATATTCTAATGTCATTGAGTTCGGTTTTTAATCTACTCTAATAAATATAAATCTCACACATACGCATAAACATTATTCTATCCTTGATTCTAATATGCATGAGCGTGAGTAGCATTCAGAAAAAAAAGATATGAATAAATAAGGTAAATGTTTCTCACATCAACATATTATCATCATCATCATCGTCATCATCTTCATTATCATTCTACATAGTGAGAATATGAAAACTAGATGAAAAATAGCTTCATGACAAAAATGCGTGAGATGTTATATTGATCTGTCTGCATGCTATTTGTTACTTCATATACGCGTCCCAGTTGTCAGATAGAGAAGCAGAAGAAAAAAAATTGTAGTTATTATGATTTTGTTTTTGTGACAAGTGAATCTTGTAGTAATGTTCTTGTTCATTTGTTGTCAGTGCCTGAGAGTCGAATAGATTTTTGCGGATGAAAGAGTTCTAACAACATCCGGAATACACATATATGCATATACTTTGACGTAAATGAAGACACATTGTAATAAACTATGAAAATTTTCTCTTTTTCTTCTTTTTTTTATCACAGATGAATAGCGTGTTTGGTGGAATAAAAGCAACACTCGACTTTCTGGCTCGTCGTTTTCAATAATAAAGGTAAATGAACATACACTAACGATCAAACATGAAATTGTTTTGATCAATAACATCAAAGTATAGTTTTTTTTTGTTGCATACAAAATATTTTTTGTATCACTTGACAAATTTATCATATGGAAATCTTAATTGAATTTTTTTTTATGAATAAGCAAAAGTATATATTTATATAAATTTTCATTAGAAAAAAAGAACAAGTGAAACAAATCTAATCCTCTTAAAAATTATCATTCAAATAATGATCTTTTTTTTTTGAGAAGTAAGAAGAAACTAGTCAAGATAAACTGATGTGTTAGACATTCACATTACAAGAGCATATTCATGTTCTAGACGTCAAATTTCTTATATGACATTGGTTGCTAACTAATTGAACATGAGAATGAATAGCTCTTATGGATGACATATACGGAAACTAAGAACAAGAAGAGAGACATCGGTTTATGTTCGTGTCTGACGCTTACAATAAGCATGTCAAATGAGTGTATCTGCTCAAGTTGAATGATGAAAAGAAAACTCGATAACCAATTAATAAGTTAGATGAGAAAAAAGAAACTAGAGACAATGAAAAGAATGATTATGCCAACTAGAAATACCATAAATGACAACAGTAATGTGTACTATGTCTTGAGTTCACATGAATTATGATCTATTGTATAATATGTGCCATAGAAAACCAGAAACTATAAAAGAATAGAAAAAGAGTATTCATGCATTTCAATGAACATATTCAGAAAAATCTATACATCATATAGATAGTTACTATTTTTAAGACAAAAAGAAAAAGAAAAAGTAGAAGTGAAAAAAAAGATAGACTAGTTATAAAACTACAATTTAGTAATTGGTTAATATAAAACAGATTTTTTACAACTAATCGTTCGTTTCTGACGTATAAAGAGAAAAAAAAAGAAATGAACACTTTAAACGGAAAGCTAACTATCAATAAACCAAGTAACGTTCATACTTGACATAATCATCGACAATTGCGTCTATTTGTCAACTATTTTTTTTCTCTCTCTCTCTCTCCTACGCCCTTTGCTTTCTTTTTTTTCTTTTATCGACTGATAAATTTTATATTCTGAGCAATTTTCTTTATAATATGAACCCTCTTTTAACAAAAAATATATATATATATATATCAACGGGGCTTCGCTAATTTACTACTTTTCTATTTCCATTTTCTTTTCTAACTCTTTCAGAATCTTATCGTGCGCATCATATGTCAGGCGATACATATCCTTTTCCTTTCACTATAAAATCATGACGCACTCATCAATATGTCTATGTGTTCTCGATTATTGTACTTTTTTTCATTTCATATACATCCATTATGTAGGTAATAAAAAAAAAGATGTTGTTGATCGAGGTCTATTCAATTTATCCTACGTCAAAGATTAATAGAAATAAAAACTGTAGAATTTCCAACGGTATTCACTAGTTCTCTTTTTCTTCTTTTTTTATTTTCAACATCTTTTTCTTTTTTCATATTATCATTGACTCGTCTTTCTAATACCAATTATTATTAGTTTTCTCTCTTCATTCATTTCTCTATTCATCTCTTATCTATCTATCTATCTATCTATCTATATATTTATAAGAGCGTGTCACATCAACACTCGATAAGAGTAAAATTTTTATAGATATTTTATCCTACTGATTTCATCTATAGTTTATATTTTCATCAAATTTTTTGTCATAAACATTATTATTATTATTATTATTACTTCAACATACAAATTCGCTTCAATTATAATGGATATACAGGAAAATGAGGTATGCAATTTTCTTGATGGTTTATCATAAAAAAAAAATAAGAAAAAAATGTTTCCTTTTGACGTAAACTATGGTTAATCATAGACTCAAAAGAAACTAAAGATAAAAGATAAAATATTAGATTTCAATGCATAATTACTCATTAGTAAAATATACACAAATAGTATTTACAACCCTATAAATTATTTAGTTCAACAGAGTAAAATGCAGATATATATATATATACACTAGCATAAATATTATATTTTATGAATGTTCTTTGTTGATACACTCGTTTAAGGTTACTCATTCTTTATTTCTCATATTATTTTTCCTGTCTCTCTCTCTCTCTCTTACTTGCTATCACGAAAATTCATAGAAGAAAAAAAACACAATTAAATACGTGAATGATAAGAAAAGATTTCTGTTAGTAATCAATCTTTTATCATACACTATGGAATGCTTTTCCGTTTTTTTTTTTTTTTGTTGATAATAAGTTTCACTTCAAACGAGTATGAACACGCAAAAGCGATGCACGAGTCAGTATCACATGTTACTGATATTTTTTCTTCTTAGACTTCGACAGCCATGTTTAACGTTTGCAGTCATTTTTTTCTTCTTCTTCTCCTCTCGTTTCTCTCTCTACCACACTTCCGTTCTCCAGGTTCGTTGAAGTAGTTGCACATTGACATCTAAAATCTTTTTGTCTTTCTTCCAGTACAAAAAAGAATCAGAACCTAAGACTGCATGATCTATGAGCAGCTTAGTTTGTGTTTTTCCGCAGTTTCTTTTCCTGTTGTTAATAACACACATAGAAAGCAAAAGAGAGAAAATGATAGATAGTTTAACAATATTGTTCTTTTTGTTGTTTTTTTTCTCCTTCTAAAGTTAATTAAAAATCAAAGATAACTTATTGTGATATAAAAAACAAAAAATTAAAATAAAAACTTTCTTTAGGAATACGATTTTACAACTGCAATACCAAATAGTCCAAGAACAATTAATATGACTGATCAAGATACACGTTATCGTCTTGTTCTACTTGGAGCTAGTCGTACAGGAAAATCATCTATAATTCATATGTTTTTAAATGGAAAATTTTTGGATACATATAAAGAAACAGTTGAAGATTTACATTATCGAGAATTCACTGTTGATGATAAAACAATTAAAGTTGATATATTAGATACAGCTGGTAACATAAAATAAAAAGAAATATTTATATTCAATTAATTTATTTAGGCAATATGGAATTTCCGGCAATGCGTCGTTTATCAATTGCAACATCACATGCATTTATTCTTGTCTATAGTAAATTGTCAAAAAACTAAAGATTATTAATTTTATTTTCTTAAAATTTAAGGTGTTGATAGTATGTCATCGTTTGAAGAAATTCGTCATATAATTGAACAAATAAAAGAACAACGTACAAATTATGCTGAAATTCCAATTGTTGTTGTTGGAAATAAAACAGATCGTACATCTGTTCGTGAAGTTGAAGAACAAAATGTCCAAACAATGCTCAATGAACTTGGTCCATTACATTGTCGTTTTGCTGAATGTACAGCACTTGATCGTGCATCAATTATTGATATATTTCTTAAATTACTTAGTCTTGTACAATTATCAGCAGCAAGACAATTAAGTCCTATATTAAGACGAAAAGTTAGTGAACGACTTAAGAAAAAAGAATTTGAAGATAAAAGTGACAAAGGTATAAGTCGTAGTCGAAGTCTTATACGACGAACATCTATGAAAAAAAAACCAACAGCATCCGGTGGTGATAAAAATTCACCTGAAACACCTGATTGTTTAGTTTCTTAAATAAATTTTTATCTTATATTCACAGTTTTGTTTTGTTTTCTTTTTTCTTTCATATATATACATATATATGCCTTTATATTTCAACCTCAAATTTCCTTTTATGTCTTTTTTTTCTGCAATAAAGAGAATTGTCAAACATGGATTAAGAAAAAGAAGATGATCTGTTTTTTTTTATTTATTGAATTATAAAGAATATTTTATTTAAACAGAAATATTATTTGTTCTTGCCCATGATCGCATTACTTTAATCATTTGATCTCCTACAGTAAAGAAGAAATTAAAAACATTACATCAATCTTATTTTTTTTACCTTGTGGATGTTTTGTATTTCGTAATAATGCTAAAATATCGCGTAGTGTATCTCTAGATTCTTTACCAGCAACTATTTGTTGAAATGTACCAGCACAAGCACCTAATTTACCTTCCCAATATACAGAACTAGGATCTACACGTTCAAGAATATCAAAGGCTCGTGCAGCATAAAAAAAACATCCATGCTAAAATTATTAATGCATTTTTTTAAATAAAAATTTTGCTTTTTTTTTACTTTATAACAATCATTTGCAATTAATTGAAGTAGTGAAAATGATTCATTTGATTGTTCTAATTTGATATACAATTCCCATGCTAGACGTGCTTTATTATTATATATGTAACAGCGTGCTAACCATGTTAAATAAATATGATCATTTTTAATTTTTTCATTATTTATAAGAAGAAATGCCTATTTAAATTTTAAAAAAGAAATTATAATAACTTTTTTTTTTCTCATTTACTTCTTCAGCTTCGGCCCATTTCTCTTCATGAGCTTTGGCTTGTGCATAATTAAAATTAAATATATCGTCATTAGAAAAATAAGTCTAATGAAAAAAAAAATGAAATTACTTTTTTTTTCTTCACTTAAACTAACTTTTATTGAAGTTAAATAAACCAAAACGTCATAAAAACGTTTATGTAGAAAATGACAAGCTGCCATACTTTGTCGACCTGGAATTGTATCTAAATTATATTGTAAATCATGAATTATTAATCCAAAGAAAAATCTAATCTTCTTATATATTGCTTCATATTAATTTCACACTTGAAAAGTTTCTACTAACCACATTCATTTGCTGAACTACCAATTGTTTGAAAATAGGATTCAGCTTTTTTAATATGTTCATGCTAAAACAAAATATAATAGTAATGATTATAATTTTTTACAGCATAGAAATAGAATACTGAATTATGTTCTTGTCCATACGCAGCATTAACTACACCTTGTAATATATATTCAATTGATTGAGATGGTTCGATATCTTTCATTAAATTGTATGCTTGTTCAATTTGATCTAAAGTAGATTAGATTTGTCAGTCCGTAAGTTATTTGTATTTGATTATACCTTGTTTAAGATAATAAATAACTAAATTGAAACGTGCTTCAGGTATAACATCAATCAATTGTGTTAATACTTGAAGTGCACCTTCACCATTTTCAAAAACAACCTTTTATTTATATTAAAATAAATTGTTTAAGTTCATATAAAATATTAATCTTACCATATTATGACGAAATAATTCTTTTGCATAATTAAATGATGTATCAATTTTATTAAGAAATTGTTTGAGATCATTCTAAATATTTAAATTTTTATTTAATATATATTTATCTTTTTTCAGATTTTACGTCAGCTTTTTTTCCATTATGTAATCTATATTGATTACATGCTTGAATATTAATAGCTGTTGCTGATTCAGGATATTTTTTAAAGTAACCTTCAAGTAATTCTTGTGAGATATCATAATAATCTAATTTATAATAACAAAGTGCTACATAAACATTCAATGCTAAATAATCTCTAAAGAATAATAATGAAATATTATGAAATAGAAAAGATAATAACATACCGATTTTCAATTAAATAACGTTTATATATATCAAGTGCTTCTTGATATTGATTTTTCATATAATTCATACTAGCAAGACACATTTGATCTTGAATAGTATCTTGTAATTGACGATGTAAATTTGAAAATTTTTCTTCATCATTTTGTTTATGTGAAACGTGAAATAAAACTCGTGTTTGTAAAGATGATTTTGGACCTTTTAATGCTGTGTGTTCAGCTTCATCGTATTTACCCAACATAAAATAACAACAAGCTAAATAGATGTAGATTTGACTATTTCGTGAATCTTTTTGCAAAAGATCTTCATACACCTAGTCAGTCAAAGAAGAAAATAATGAAAGAATATTTCCAGACGATATACTTACATCACTTGCACGTTGATAATCACCGGCATGGAATGCAGCAAATGCTAACCAAAGTTCAAGATCTTGTATTGCTGTGCCATTCTCACGACTAAACTATAAAAGATTAAAAAGAATGTATAATAGTATACATATATATATATAAATAAATAAGTACTTCGAGAAAAGCAATTGCACCGGTATAATCACGTTGAATAATAAAATCTTCAAGTTCATTTGTTTTCTTTTTACTTTTATCTTGAGTAGATGTATTTGTTTTTTTCTTTGGATCTTCTACAGCTTTTGTACGTGAAAGTATCTATTTCAAAAGATATAAAGAAATTTTTATTTTTTATTCAATCAATATTGACATACCATGTATATAATATCTGAATAAAATGAATCTATGATTTTCTTTATACCATAGATAAAGAATTTGTCTATGCAACACCTCTAGATCCTTTGTTATTACCTTTGATAGGTGTCGCCTACAAGATACTCAATAAAAAAAAAAGAAAACTACATATTTATTATTTATTTGAATTGTAAAA